AACAAAGTAAGTGAACATTTACCTGACAATTTCAAAGATGATATATAACAAAGGTAAAGACAAAGTGAGGTTTAACATTAGAACAATAAGACATACTGACATCACAAAATTAGGACGATGAGATAGCTAGAAGATCTAATGTGAACTATCTATACCATGACATATGTATCTCTCTGTTTATGACTCCAGTCTAGCCAAAGGCACCTATGGTGAGAGCCTTGTGATATGAATGGGGCCATGCAAATGGGAGAAAAGTGAGCCAATTGAACACACTGCACTCATAAATAATGCAGAGCCAAACCATGCAAATCCAGAAGACAAGCCACCGTCTGAGTCCAGTTCCATAAGGGAAGGGACCGAAACTCCCCGCTCAATCTTGCAATTCAGACAATGAACCACCGAGGAGTAATTGGAGTGAAGCCAAATTACAGAGCCTCAAGGAAGATGAATGAACTGCAGAGTATGCCACCCAAAAGCCAATCCTCAAACCATACTATGCACCCGATGAATAGGGACCCAACTAACGACCCTGAGATTCAAGGTGAAAGTTTACCATAAAGCCCCAACACAGGTTCAAGGCATCCATAAAAAAGTTGAGCACACAAACTTTGCATATCTGGGAACACAACCCTATGTTTTCCATGTAATTCAGTTTACATGGTACTGTACGTTTTGATATATATACAGTATATCACAGCAGGTTATAAGTTGATTTTTCAGTATATGATGATGAGTGGTAAGTTTGCTTATATAATTTAAGGACTTAACAATACAAAATTAAAAATCCTTGCAATAAAAGGAAAAGAACACAGTACATGTGAAAAATGTTATTTATAAAATGCATATAAATTTTATCAGGTTTTCATCCAAAGCACTTAAAAAATTCATCTGATTAACAAAAACATAAGTATCTTTGGATATTAGGCAACATGGCATAGGAATAAGTTTTGTTCATTTGACAATGGAAATCTAAAATATAAAAATGAATTATACCACTATTAATTTATATAACAAAGAATTATACCACTATTGATACTGCACAGGTAACAGGTGAATATTAACAAAATTCAACTACTGTACTGTATAAGCTTTGTGTGCAGATTCGAAGGAAACAAAGCCAGAAATCATGTCACACAAAATAATACAAATTTTATAGCTTACACACACACACTGCAGAGTACAGTATTCCATCTGAAGAAAAATATCAGTTCTTCATATATGCCTTTTGTGTATGTGTGTGTGTACTCAACTAGATGTGTACTCAACTAGATGAGTACACACACACACACACACAAAAGGCATACACGAAGAACTGATATTTTCCTTCAGATGAAATACTGTACTCTGTAATTACTGTAATACATTTCCCCCAATTACAAATCTACTTCATATCATATAAAGATAAAGATAATCTGTGTTCACAGAAATACTATATAAACAATTTAATGACCAGAAATCATGTGAATACAGTTTTCAATAATCATAATAATCACAAAAGGGAAAGCAGTTTTTCTCTTAATTTAACAATTTCTCTAACATTTTCATCACCATATCACATAAGTAATTCTCTAAAGTAGGTACCGTGCCTGGGAGACTGTTTACCATCACACATAGTTTAATAAATATGGCACAGTCTGCAGTCTTGATAGCGTAGTATGGTCAGCTATGATCAATTTTAACAATGGAGTTATACACCATACATAGTACTTAACTGTACTGGTACTGTATAATTTTCACTTGTACAGTACCAGAATTAACACTTTCAATACACACTGAAACCCTCTTCTTGGAACTGTTAGCATTAAGTAAAAGAATAATTATAAAAATTAAGCTTACCTGAAACATTATTGTATTACACTGCCCATTATACAACACTTCTAGCCTTTTTCACCTAAGTGCAAAGTGTAATAAGCCCAATACATCAGGAATAGGTTTAACAAGATCAGATAACCAATTAGGGTTTCTTTTACACTGCTTCTGATACAATATATATATATACAGCACTGTATATAAAATCATTAACTAATATTTTCAGCACTTTATAAAACTGAATTAAGTACATGAGCCCTCACTGTGATTTTTATTTTCTGAAAACATAAGAGATCCATAAAACATAATATCGCTATAGTGATGCACAATATCAATCTAACCGTATTTTTTTATTTTCAAGACACAAAATTATACATGACAGTATTAACACTATCACAATAGCGTTTTAAACATAAAACGTAACATCAAAACAGGAAATCTTGTAAGCAATCAATATCAGCTTTAATATAAAACTTTCTATACTTTCAAAGGAGAACTCAAGATAAACTTCTTAAAAAGGTTGCCAAAGCAACAAGATGTAATAACTATTCTGGCTTGTAGGCTAAGATGAGAAATAGTCTGACTGCCGAGATGCAGACAGTACCTATCTGGTTTACACGTTTCTGAATGTTACAAATGCAAGAAGCTAATATTTGAAAATTACTATTTAACCAATTATACAAACTTTTATATTTTTTTCAATACATAACAAGCCCCTCAGTGAGCAAATAATAGGCAACAGTCATGCAGCTACTGTATCTCTATGCATGCTTCAAAACAATTTTAATATACATGCGTATATGCATGGTGGGAAGAAGTACAGTAATTATCAAAAGAGGGCATCAAGCTGGAATACCATGTAGCAATGTTGGAAAGAAACAAGAGCATCAATATATCATGCACATCCCCACCTGCATGCAGCCATACACAGAGAAAAGAACTTGCTAATAAACAAATCAGATTTTAGATAGGCAAAATGCTGCATATACAAATTTTGAAATTATTCATTATGGAATACTGTAGATAGAAAATTTGCATCGATTTGTACTTAGAAAAAGCTCTTGACAAAATTCCCAATAAAATACAATTCAATGGAGGGAAATGCCATGTAATGAAAAAGAATGAAACAGATTTCTTGAAGATTATACTGTTAAAATTTTAAGATAATTAAATAAATAATAAGATTTAGGGATAAGTTACTAATCATTGATCACTTAAATGGGGAGGGGAAAAGGAAATCAAAGTGCCTCTAGTGTTAGATAAATTAAACCCCGAAAAATGTCTGAAAATCATAACATATACTACAATTACATGTTGAAATATGGAATATACATAATTGTTTAGACCATTTTCCCTCCTGTTTAAGTACATTTTTTTACACTTATATTTATAACAATATTTTATGGTTTTTCAAATAAACGCTGTGACATTTTATTTTCGTTCTTTTCGTTTTCAGATAAATGTAGCATTAAATGTTTAGATCCAGAAAGGTGTGTTATGGGAAAAGTTAAAGTGGGCCAAAAGTGTTGTCTTAGAAGCCTAATAATGGTTCTCAAGTCTCCAAAACCAACTACTTGTACTGTATATAAATCAATTGAAAATAATAAAATACATTGACACTAAATGACTTCTGGAACCAAGAAATAAAGAGAAGCTACAAGGTGTTACAAGGAGAGGCTAGAGGTGTTAAATATGCCAAACTAGAAAATAGAAGAAAAAGAGGTGATATGATCACTATGTACAAAATAATAACAGGAATCAACAAAATTTACTAAGAATAATTCTTGAAAACTACAGTTTCAAGAATAAGAGGTCATAGGTTCAAATTAAGGAAACAAAGCTGCTGAAAAAACATTAGAAAGTTCACTTTTGCAAACAGAATGGAAGACGGTTGGAACAAGTTAAGCGAGAAAGTGGTGGAAACACAAACCATCGTCATATGACAAAGTACTGGGAAGACCGAGCACCACAAGCGTAGCTTTCATACTGTAACTACCTTTAGGTAATTACACTTAGGTTATTACATCATGCTACATTTCACATTAATACAAGATCTTAACACCGAGTGCCCCCCCCCACCAAAAAAAAAACACTTTGAACCAGGGTTGGAAAAGTTGTCTAAAAGCATACAGTATTTCCAAACAAATTAAAAACCCAACCAAATCATACTGATATACAATGCTGCTTTGTACATTAATAAGAGACTTTAAAGCTTAATAATTCCCATGATAAAAGCTACTAAACATTTGGTGGTTCAAACTGGAAGTCTGATGGGGCCAAGGTGGTTCTCGACTAGAGAAGAGCCAGTTTTCGGCATTTTGTATTTTGTTCCTGCGAGTGTCAGAAATGTATTACTGTATAGGAATTTGTGTAATACTGTCAAGAGAGAGAAGTGGTTAACATATAAATTATAATATGCAAGTTTTAACCAGTAGAATGGTTTTCAAATTGAGCAGTGTAATTAACTGACTGAGGTCAGCCTTCAAGGCAGCAAGTGTGTTAGTAGCCACCAAAACATTTATCATCGTGTTAAGACTTACATGTACATACAAGACTGATGTTAATTTATAGATTAACACTCTTTCAATTCACATCCCAGGTTTCTTCCAAAAATGATAACAAAATTTGATTTCACTTATCAACAAATCAAAGTAATGCACTGAAGTTTAAGTGGCCAAAAGACCAGTGACTTCCCCTTAATTAATTATAACCACATAAATAAAGTAAGAGTATCCTCAGCAGAGCAGGCAAAATTTTAGGATAACTTTAAGTACAACTTGTAGTGCAATCATTAGCACAGTTGGATCACAACCAATAAAACCTGAGTTTGATTCTCAGACAGGCGAGACATTTGGGCACATTTCCGTGCAGCTAATTGCATCTGTTCATTTGACAGTAAATAGGTAGCCAGGAATTAGGCAATTGTTGATTTGGCATCCCGCAAAAGGTCAGTCAGTGGTCTAGGCAGATATTAGTAAGCCTATCAAGCTTCCAGTTCCCAACAACAGGCAGCTGGGATACTATGCCAACACCCAAAGAAGGAAATAAGCAAAATATATATATATATATATATATATATATATATATATATATATATATATATATATATATATATATATATATATATATATATATATATATATATATATATATATATATATATATATATATATATATATATATATATATATATATATATATATATATATATATGTATATAAAGTACAAAGACATGCAATAAAATAGATTCCAGAGCTACAAGGAAAGACTGAAGATTTTGGATGGGCTCATGTTGAACAGAAGACAGATGAGATATTATACACACAAACAAATACCTGGTGGTATTTGGTGGTGGTATTATTTCAACCCATCTGCCAATACCCTAGGTATTGGCAGATGGGTTGAATAAACTCTGAGAAATGGGACACAATGAGCATAGCTCTATTTATCTACAAATAGGTAACTACACCTAATGCAACAAACTTTTGTGAAAGCTCTAGCCCCAGTATTTGTGTACAAAATTACCATCATAAACCAGTCATGATTCATGATTCAAAAGCTGTTATAACTTCAGTTTGTTTTTAAGATCTATACAGAAATTTCCATACAGTTTATCAGCAAGCTTCTGTTTGACCTTCAACATAGGTTCATCAAAAAGTGTCACACCTTCCAGACCTTCATCTTCTAACTTGTCCCCAATTTCTACACTCTTACCACCAGTTGCAACTTCCTTATCTGCTCCAATCTGTAAAAGAATTAGCTGGTGAGCAGCATCCTGTAAAAATAAAATAAACAAAAATATAAAACTAAAGTAAAAAATAGAATGAAAAATAAACAAAAAGTCAGGGGTTACAAAAAAAAATTGAATATCTGTTGTATAAATTAATATTCAACTAAAATGGTACAGTTAATTCAGGGTTTTAATTGCCTGGAGAAGAGGTTGGTGTATCAAACCCAATCACCTAAAACATTTACGCCACCCACCCAAACTCAAGCTAGAGCATGTTAACACCATCCAAATCCTTAAAAATAATAAGGTAACCAGGAAATAAGGAGCATAACTCTGATACTGAAACAACAAAGCGGTACTCACACAACCAAAGCTACCCTCGTAGGAGCATCAGACTTCACCACAGATATTAGCCTATTTTGGTACTTTTGGGACAGACCCTGGCTTGTGGTGTCGCAAAGGAAGGAAGAAGTATAGTAGTTTACTATAATAGGAAAGGACAGATACGAACAATTTTATCATTCCTCTAAAATGTCTATTGTGGCACACACATACACGAGGCAATAGCTTCAAGCTCAACAAGCTACAATATAGGACTCAAAACAGGAGATGCTTTGTCACCTATAAGATAAACAATCCATGGAATGGCCTACTCACTGAAGTTGTAAATGGCAAGACAATATTTCAATTTAAAATTCAGCTGAAAAAATCAAACAATGAGAAAGCCTTCTTGTCCTCATCAAGGCCAATAGAGATGGTAATCCTCAGTTAAATTCAGGTAAATTTTGAACAAGAGGACATGCATTAGTTAAAAAAAAAAAGTTTCTTAAAAATTAAAGTGTATTTCTTATTAAATAATGTGGGTGTCTAAAGCAAGCTGAACAATATGGTGGTGAAACAAAAAGTGAAAAATTTTCAGTAAGAAATTAGCAAGTATGGGCTCTCTTTAAATCACAAATAAGCAAGCTCACACACACACACAACACACACAAATAATATTTACAAACTTGAACTTCATGGGTTGCATACATTACCATAAACTACACACACAGTTTCCAGCTACAATACAGTACAGTACATGCATAATTGCATTTACATATAATTACCTTTATATTACTGTAATTTAACAAAATCTGACCGAGTTATGAAAGTTCCTTTCTAAGCTGGCCATTTAATTGCTCCCTTAGACAAGGTTTTTCTGGTTCCATGGACATTATCAATCATTTATAGAAGATAAAATATTGTGCATGGTACTGCAGTATCTTTTTAAACATCTCTTCCAAGTCATACTGGAGCAAGGGCAACACTGAAAAACACTTGATCCAGCCTGGAATGACCTTTAGAATTGATGTCAAGGCTCATCCAAGCTCTACTTAGTATCTCACTAATTGCTAGAAATCTTACTGAGGTACCATACTACAAATGCTTCTTGTGACTTTCAAAACCCATGAGCTCTGGTGCTAGAATAGGACATGGCATTAGTTCACTGCATCATGGTAAGATGATTCAAGCAGAAGGACTCTGAGTGAGAAACACAAATAGCTTAAAGGAAACATCACAATGCTGCAACAGGACAGAGGATATGAGGCAGCAATGGAAGCCTGCAGTTGTCTTAACTTGAACAAAGAATTAAGGGAAGTGCAAAAATATCTGCTTGACAAACAAGATGAAGTCAGGACAGTGGCCATGAAGATCATTAACCCAATTCCAACTGCATATCAACTCTTAGGTGTTGCATGAGAAGCATTGCCACAGTCTCTCCATAAAGATAGTGGTGCATCCATCCCAAAACTTCACAATACTAAAGGCAGATCTTCTGCATGGATAATAAGACATGGAATATGAAAAAGGTTGAAGCACCTGGAAAGCAAGGCCAGGAACCATAACTGAACTGGCCACAGAGAAGTGAAGAATTTCATGGGACCCATTAAGCTCTGAAGCCTCAAAAGGATTGGAAATAATGTGGACAAACACTCCTGCTCAGCCCATTTACACTAAGCTGGAAAATGCATTCCTGGGTGTCAAATGAAACAGATCTCCAGATCAGCACAGAAAAGACATAGCCTCCTAAGGGCCTCCAGTTTTCCCTGAGGAAAGAATCACCTCCCTCACTTAAAGAATAGGAAGAAGACAGCTCTTATTGAGAGTTAGGCCTCAACTACCAAACCCCTTCCACCCTCCCCTCCCTCCGGAACAAAAAAGGAACAATGCTCCAAACATACAATTCTTATACAAATATCACGCAAGTCTCTCATAAGTATTTTAGTCTGAACTAACTGATATGCAAAACCTATAAGCCTGAAGAATTTCATGGTGTGTATATATATATATATAAATATAGTATATAGTATAAAGTATATAGTATAAAAAGTTTAATTGTTTTTGAGTATCAATAGTGAATGCTTCTAAAAAAAATTATTTTTTTAATTTCACTTCAAACAATGAAAGCACATAAATGTACTTCCTAGGCATGATTTTTTTTTTTTGTTTAACATACAAAACAATTTTAACTAGCCTCAAGACATGAGTACTGTACATGAAATATCATATTCTTTAAAACTATATTATATGTAAATATAATCAAATGAGTAACATTCCTGTGTTCCAATTAGCTATTTTCACTATCACCATTATTACTGTTTCCCCTACTTCCATGGAGTTGGGGAAGCATTGGCACAGATAAGACGAGAGAGAAGGCTAAAGATTTTTAAAATATCCCTACTTCATTCATATTATCTCTCTTACTAAACAGTGTCATCAAAAATATCTACTTTGGTATAGGGCATAAACCATAACCCAATAGTGAACCGTGGAGCCACCTCAATCTTCCCCTTACTCCCACACATGGTAAAATGCTGAGTAAAATTAATAATTTCACAAAATGAAGATCAAGGCTCACTGCAACACTTGTCAGAAAGCACCAAAGTAAACAGCTATTGAAAGTATAAATCTTTATATCTGTAACATGAATACATAATGAATATTAGTGACAGTATTCATTGCATAATTATATAAAAAAGTAAGGAATAAGATGAGGTGTGTGCAATATGTGAAGTCCAAGTGCAGTATTGTACTCACCGCAAGAAATTCCTCAAAAATTTCTTTTGCTTCGTCTTCCAGTTCTTTAAATTTAACTTTGTACTTCTCACACCTAACATAGAAGTCAATATATTTTGTATATTCTCCCTCTTCTCCGTTTGCTTCTAATTCCACCAAAAAATTTCGAAATGCTGCCACACCATTAGGATCCTAGAAAAAATGATTTAAAGTGAATAATAATGCCTCTCAAATACTGTACTAAAACAAAGTATTTACCAACATGCAAACATTTATGTTTGCATGCTGAATACTGTATGTGAATTTTACTAGTTCAAAAATTTGTAGAATGCACAGAAACTATGAAGATCTAGGCATTTTAAACGAACTTCATATGTGTGTTAAACCATGCAAATACGATAGGAATAAAGTGACAAGGATGTAATGACGTTTTTTTAACGATAAAATATAAATGAAGTACAGTATTACTGATAACCCTTGAGGTTAGGAAAAACATCCGATGCATTTTCCTCTTCTATAGGTAAGCTTATCTACTCCACTGGCATTCTATCTAATACTCTTCACACACCAGTAAAACAAATCATGTTTACATTTGTACACACCAGCAAAACAAATCATGTTTACATTTGTACACACCAGCAAAACAAATCATGTTTACATTTGTACACACCAGCAAAACAAATCATGTTTACATTTGTACACACCAGCAAAACAAATCATGTTTACATTTGTACACACCAGCAAAACAAATCATTACACACAGAAATCACAATAGCGTGATGCATCAAATGAACAAATCCACAAGGGCTGTGATGAGGAATAATTCTTGGGTTAGGTTAATGTGCAAAAGTTAATCCTTCAATGATCTCTTAACTCCACCAAGGTAAGTTAAAATTTACGTTATTGTCATTCTGTTTTATGTATTATATGAAGATGCTACTATAACAATGTAAATCCATAATTATTTTATGTGGTAATACAAATTATGCTAGATGTATAAAAAAAAATAATAGCAAATTTGTAAAAAAAATTTACATCCATTACAAGGGCACTAAAACATGAATTGAATACAGAGAAAACGAGTACTGTACAGGGTACAGTACAGTAATATACTTACCACTAATAAAGAATTTATAGAAGAGGTCCATTTCTCTAGCTGAACTTTAGTTGGTTGCTTTTTTTTCTCGGCTTTTGTTGCATCTTCTTTTTCTTTCTTATCTTTTTCTGTCTTATCTTTTTCTTTTTTAAGATTCTCTGTTTTTGATTTTTCATCCGTCTTTGTCGCACTCATGACAGCTGTGATGAACCAAGACCTGAAAAATACAATTTTCCCTTTAGTGACATTAGTCTTTATAATTTAACCCTAATTGCTTCAATGGATCAAATATATAAAAACAAAAATTAAAAAAAACATTCTTAAACTACATGAAACCAACTGATAAGAGAAACAGCCTAAGGATAAAGTAACATCCATTACAGTAGTGTAGTCTATGTAATTTAATTTATAGCAGTTCCTGTGGCACATACTCACCCGGCGCTTTGTGAGCGCTTTGGGCTGGGTTCGTATTCTTGCCAGGGAGGATTGACTGGGAGCCAATCCTTAACTGTAGCCTCTATTCACTCAACAGTGAATGGGTACCTGGTTCTTAAACAATTTGGCAGGTCGCATTCTGGGGAAAAATTAGGATTAAGGACATGCCTGAAAGGCTTTGCAAGAATGTGGTAACTCTTGTATATATAAATAAAAATAAAAAAATATAAAAAATTATAATTCTGAGAGTTAACTAAAATAAACTAATTTAAATATATTGTAATACAGTAATAGAATTATATAAACTGGCAGCAGTTTCCAGTAATATTTGCAAGGTGCTCTGCAATTCAAATAAATTTGTAAAGGTTATAGAGTGCTCAAACTGGAGTCTTATGTCAACAAACCCACCACCTACCATTCCTCTTTGAAGCTATAAAAAGCTTGGAACCTAAGAATTGGTGGGTTCTACCTGGATTTATGAGAAGGCCCATCTAGTACCCCAATTCTGATTTGCAAAATTGTTGGATCATTATATTTTTAAAGCAAAAATTTAATTGCTGCACACATACTGTACTTTAAAATTGGCAAGCAGGATGGAAATAAATACTAACAACTTTTATTTTCTCTGTGCTGTATTAAGATTACTCTACATTAGGCTTCATTTCTTTCAATAATTTGTCGGCCCTTTATCTAAGTTTGGCTAAATGTAATACCATGTGGATACAAGCAGGCCCTGAGCATGGGGTGGGGCCAAGGGTATTATTGATTCCAGGACCATCGGAACTAATGGGTCTAAGATGAGGAACCTGTGATACCACAGCCTCTGCACTACTTGGAGAGCATATATAGGACATATTTAACACTGTATGACAAAGCCAAATAATTCTTTATCTTGCATAGTAGTAGTGCAGTGTCCTATGGGCCTGTATTCAGTCAATGCAGCATTCCATAAGCCTGCATCCAGTTAGTGCAGCACCTCCTGGGGCTGAATTCAATTGATGCAGCACCCCATGGGCTAGTATTCAAATTATGCAATGTACCATGGTTCTGTATCCTACATATTTACAATCCTTACTTTATATAAGGGTTCAAAAGGCACAGCAAGTTTTCAAATGTATAATATGTCAGGATTTCCAAACTGCACCGGAACATTACTGTCTCGGGTAATACAAAGTTCACTTGGCTTTACAAATTTGTTTGTATATTGACTATTTTATAACAATGGCTGCCAATGGTATTAAGTTGAATTGTGACTATAAATACAGAAGGTAACTAGTTTAACAGTCTCAACGTTTGTTGCTGACGTTTTGTTATTTATTTATGTATATATAGAAGAGTTCTTACATTCTTGTACAGCCACTAGCACGCATAACATTTCGGACAAGTCCTTAATTCTAATATTCCCACGAATAGAACCCGCCAAATCATCTAACAACTAGGTACCCATTTTACTGTTCTGTAAACAGAGGCTACAGTTAGAGATTGGCACCCAGTAAATCCTACCCAGCCAGGATACGAACCCAGGCCAAAGCGCTCGCGAAACACCTGGCGAGTGTCTTACCACTAGGCCACGAGTACTGCTAAATAACCTTAATAGACCTAAATTGACCTTAAATAACATAAGTTATACAGTTCTTTGCCACATTATGCAACTCTAACTTTTCCTCTACTGCCCACAGGGTGGGTATAGGGACCACATTCAAGTAATTCAACAACAAAGGATTGGCACTACCTATATCCTCGGAACCAGAACAAAAACGAGTAGTCAAGGCCAGTCGTAGCCAGGCACTAGTGTTCCTTTCTCACTCTTATTTAACCAATACCTGCACTCAGTTATTTCGCCAGTACTCAACTTACCCTATAACTCAACTTCCCTTTCATATAGGGCCAACACACAGTCCACAGCCAGGGATCACGCGATAAGGAATATTTATCTCTTGGGAATGTTTGTCACTCTTGTTTACGCTAACTTCCTGCAAGTTAGCGCTTGGCGCTTCAAACCTAGCGACTATCCTCACATGGTCTTCACATAACTTCTTCACAAGGGGAAATGTAGATGTTTCTCTCTCAGAATGTTCGGTAATATGTTTATTGTTTGTGATGTGTGTATATGTATATATTAACACGGTGTACTGAACGGGGTGAGAATAGCTTGAGCACTCCGAGGAGCAGTAGCAGCAGAGTGCACAGTACTCAGTGCACAGTATTACATGTTATTTACTGTTCATTCGAGAGGTTGTTGATATATGGGCGACGACGGTCGAGGGATCGGCATTCAAGAGGTATGCTATGTACACAAGTGATTGTTTTCTGTTGTCGGGAATTTATAGCTTCAAGAATCATTGTTAGGGGCATCCTTATACAATTGAATGAATTAAATAAGTTTGTCTTAACATCTTTCATATTGCAAAATCATATCAAAATATCTACACTAAAATCATTGCAGGTAGATCCCCGAAACACTGAGCGTATTAGTGGCTTTAGGCATAGTATGTACTAGCTTTATCTAGAAGTCCAACATTCTACTTGTAACTTTTTGAATGTATTAACTTTTACCTTAATAAACATTATTATTATTATTATTATTATTATTATTATTATTATATAGATATTAAAGGTGGGCTGACGTGCGTAGCGCACTGCTTATACTGTCGTATATCTTATTATTATCCATCAGCGAGGGCTTTGTCTCATTACAGAACGAATAGACTCAAGATGATGCAAACAATACAACTGCAATAATCCATTGGATTATTTGCAATGTTTACAACTAGACCATAGTTGCACACTGCATTGATTTTTTCCCGCCAGAGATGGATAGTTCATTAAGCATCCCCTATTCAACCAGCGAGTGGTAGTTTTATTGTGCACCCCCGAAGCCCAACCAGTTGTGTAACCGAACCCCGACCGGTTGTGTAACTGCAAGCCTAGCATGAACGAACCGAACAAAACCTCTGAAGCACAACCATGCACGAATCAAAGCCCGAATACGCACAACCCGGAGCCCGATCTGTTACGTAACCTGAGTCGACCAGTGGTGTAACCGGACCCCGACCAGTTGTGTAACCGCAAGTCTAGCAAGTATACAACTCATCCAACCCCCACCAAGCTAAACAGCCACAGAGCCTAACCAAACTCCATTCCTTGCCTGACCAAACAAAAATCTTACTTGGAGTAATATACTAACTGGAGCCCGACCGTGCATAACCCAAAGACCAACAAATCACACCCCCCAAAGTTATGTAACCGGTGTCCGAACCAGTTGTGTAATCGGACCCTGACCAGTTGTGTAACCGCAAGCTTATCATGACTGAACAAAACAATCAATTTAAAAGAAATAAGATCTGAAGAATAACCATGCATGAATTGAAGCCCGACAATGCACAACCCGAAGCCTAACTGACACCCCCGGAGACCGACCAGTTATGTAACCGGAGCCTGACCAGTTGTGTAACCTGAACCCGACCAGTTGTGTAACCGCAAGTCTAGTAATTATATATCTCATCCAACCCCACCAAGCTAAACAGCCCCAGAGCCCAACCAAACTCCATTCCTAGCTCGACCAAACAAAAATCTCCTTAGCCCTACCTAAAACCCTCCACTTACCCAAGAAACACACTATGGAGCCATAGAAAAAAAAATTAGCTATGTATGAAAAAAGAAACCCAGATTTCTAGCAAACACATAACCATAGAGCCCTAGCAAACAAACTTGGAGCACAAGTACACAAACAACCCCTGGAGCACAACTATGCACGAATCGAAGCCCGATCATGCACAACCCGAAGCCCAAATGACACCCCCGGAGCCCGACCAGTTATTTAACCGGAGCCCGACCAGTTATTTAACCGGAGCCCGACCAGTTATCTAACCGGAGCCCGACCAGGTGTGTAACCGGAGCCCGACCAGTTGTGTAACCGGAGCCCGACCAGTTGTGTAACCGCAAGCCTAGCAAGTATACATCTCATCCAACCCCACCACGCTAAACACTCACAGAATGGGTATGGGGTGTACTTCCGCTCACAGGATGAGTACTAGATGCACTACCGCTCACAGGATGAGTACTAGATGCACTACCGCTCACAGGATGAGTACTAGATGCACTACCGCTCACAGGATGAGTACGGGGTGCATAATAAATGAACTAAACTATAAAGAGCCTAAACAGTAACCCGGTACAAAATAAGGGAAAGCCGAGCTGGTATTAGCAACGTCCTGATTATCAAGCCTTGGTAAAACCTTGCCACTCCCCTCACAAGGTAATTACACAGAAGATAAATGTTGAAAGCACAATGAAGTTGAGCCGTCCATCAGGCGTCTTGGGACAGTTAATCCTGGAGACCAACCCAAGACCTCGCCGAGATGTCTGGTAGGATGGCTGGCTGTCTGTCTATCTGGCAGGTTGGTTGCCTCTCTGGCAGGCTCTCTGCTTGACTGGCTGGCAGGCTGGCCTGGTGATAGGCTGTCTGACTGGCAACTAGGTGTGTCTCGTCTCTTTGCCTTTCTCCCACTTTACATATTATGGCTTAACGATACCTCAGGGTTCTCTCGACGCCGCTAAATGCAGCTGTAATGAGCATCGTCTTTTATAACTGCTATATCTGAATTCCACTTTGGATTTTCTTTCAAGAGGTATAGTCCAACCTACTATAGGCTCGGATATGTGCATGCAAGAATAAATTTATTAGTGACCTAGCTGCATGTTCCTCGTTAATGTTTGTCGCAGTAATAGATGTAAATAATGCCCTATGATAGACTATGTCCCATGTATGTTACAAGCGGTGGCCTTAAATGTGTTTCATCATATATATATCTTAGTCCTTCTGTTGGTCTCGGACTGCCTTAACAATAATGTGTTAAACGCCAGCAAGGTCCGGCTCCCAGGTAGAGTTGAACAAGGCCCGGCCCCCAGGGAAGCTACTCCCTTCAAGTTGTCCGTATCAGCGGATGATCAGTATAACCCCATGCTGGTGCACAGAAAGCTCTCAATTTAAATTACTTTTTAAAGTAATCACCACCACCATAACAAAACCCACTTGTACTACCTCATTCTACATTTACTCTTCTTTCAATACCCCACATAGGCAGGAGTATGAATTACAAGGTCAAGACTCTAGGTAGGTCTACTGGTCTCAGAAGAAGACATACACTTGGACATTCCCCCATAAACTCCAGTACACATCAATCCTCTCTGGCTGTAGGATTATACAACACAGTAATAGGTTTCCAAACCGGAGGGTTTGTCATACAGGGCCGTGGGATCAGTTGTCTGCACTGGCAAACTCTGGCTACATTACGAGGATATCCTCAAGAACACGAGTTAATAAATTAATTGCAAAGCTCCAGGTACCTCATGCCAACTGGTCTGAAAGGTCGAATAACTGGGCATTCGGTGATGTAGTGTGGGAAGAGTAGCAGCAACCTAGTGGAAGGAGTGATGTGGATACTCCTTTGGTGTCCATCATCCTTCATACACTGCAGCTGTATCTGCTTCCTCAAAAGCAACAATATGCAACAGATAGGTTTCCTTGCATAAGGAAATCTATCTACTGCAGAAGATAAATACTTACATTCTACTGAAGTCAAATATCAATACATTTCTCACTCAAGAAATTATAAGCATGCCTAAAGCAATAGTGGTCATTATAGGTGGTGAACTTAACAAGGCTTGATAATGTAGTTAGGACCAGTTAATACGTAGTTTATGTGTAACATAAAGCTATGCTACTGATCTGGTAGGCAAGATACTGTGACAGCATGATGTTTTTCCCTTCTGAATCGTTTGTGTTCATTAACAAACTCATTTAACCGCACCTGTTTAACAAACGCATTTAACCGCACCTGTTTTAGAATAGCTGTCTCAATATAGAAATCAAATAAAGATAACACTAATTTAAAAAAATATTGACACGAAAAAGAGACAAGAGTTTTTTTTTAGGTCTGATAAAGAAGCTATTTGTGAGAGTGCATTGGGTGATGTCGTTCGCTAGGCTGCCTTGCGCCCTCGCTAGATGCCGCCAAAATATTGCTCCATAAACTTCATTTTTCAGAGTTACTTCAGGAAATGCTATATGTATTTTCTACGTATTTACATATCTATTTTAGTATACCTAATATAAGCACTATTGACAATCAGTTTTCTTTAATTCATGTATGTAGTACAGTATCTTGATTCTTTAATATAATCCATGACATTGTGTTTTATAAAAATTTGTTTTATTCTTAAAACAGTGATAATAATTCTGCTGATAAATATTACATTATCAAGTTGTGTAAACTACCTGGGACACTTGTAGCCTAGTTCTACCTAGGAGTCTGCTGACCTTGTAACCTAGTCGAAGCAGAACATATTCCCAGAGCAGAGTAGTGTCACCATAGTGTTTGCTGATCTTACTAGATAATCCCGTCGAAACACATTACTCTTGCATGACAGTATAAAGATACATTAATTTACTGTTGTTGATATTAATTACTCTTGTCTCAGGTCCATGTAATTCTGTTAAAATTCATTGCGAATTATTGCCATGAGACTGAGTGTAAACAATTCAACGTTATAATAAACTCCGAGACCATTTGCTTAAGTTAGCAACTGACTCATTAGGTCTGAAATGCATTAAATGTCAATATGAGGTAAGATTCTGATTAAATCATTAACAGTTGTGTTGTACTTGTGTTTGGCTTCTGACACGCGTGATGCATTTATGTCCAAGGGAGTTATAGCAATCAGGAATAAAACGGCATCATTTGTAGGTAAAGTGTCAAGAGGAGCAGGTGAACATTCTGATAGAACCAGACTGGCTGAGAAACAGACAGCAGCGATAGACAGGTACAGGCAGAGATAGACTGGCACAAATATATAAAAGGCACGTTGTAGACACACTAAAAGACAGACAGGCAAAGATTAAAGACATGCGTGAAAATAATTGCCAAATAAGGAGAGGAAGAGACATATAGACAGGCGTATTCTACACAGCTCAATATGTGGACAAGGTTAAGGAACAGCACCGC